AATAGAATTATTGTCCCATATCATGGGGACAACCCCAATACTAGAAATGGCGCGTGCTTACGGTCTCCGTCCCCGATTATGGCTCCTGATTTTATGTGATGTAGTGTGTACTGAAGGAGCCTATGTCATGTGCTCCTGGCACTGCCACAACTCACAAAATAACCCATGCAGTTTCAAAGTGAACGCCTAATAACAGCTAGAGAGCCAAGGAAGGTTTTGAAGAGATCATTACCAGGGCCTCAACAACACGAAGAGTTTCTCAGTAAATCTGTTGTTTTATCTATAATAATGTCTACAAGCGAACGCGTTTCGGTTTTTCGTGAAATTTTCTTAGTATGTAGATTATTTTTTAAAATTTAGTTTATTTTTTTTGATTTGCCACACAAACAAAAATAGAATTACAGTACAATGACTAATAAATTACAAACATAAATATACAAGATTACAATGAAGATACAAAGGATAGGGAAAAAAAATGGCTAGGGAACCTAATAAAAACCACGGGGCTTGTAAGCTTAGGTTCCCTCTCAAGAAACACCAGATGACTAATTTAGATAAAATAATTAATGACAAGCCTTATATAGTGACAGAGTTAATAGTTATCGATAGTATAGGGTTAAGTTTTTTCCTAAAAGATGCCAGCGATGAAGAGCCAGAAATTCTCTTTCAGGTGATAGAGAATTAAAAAATTTAGGACCTTGATATAATACGGAGAATTGCCGGAAATAGATTAGATATTAGATTGATACTTTTCATTCAAGTAAGTAATGATAATAATAATATAATAATAATAACTTTATTTGAGTGTCTAGTCTTCTAGTTGGCCTTAAGCTTACTAATCGGGGACACTGTTAAAATTAAAATATAATATAAGTATAAAAACGATTCTGGTCTATTTACATTAAATTTTACTACATTTTCGCACACTCTTTGTATTTACATCTAATTCCTACAGTTAAGATACTACTTTAGAATACGGAATATCGAACCTATATTTATAATACCACAGAAAGTCTAAGGGGAGCTTTGATTTGAATTGATAATGTTGATAGGAGGGTTAGAACATGATTACAGCGGACTTAGTGGTTGTGTAGTACAGCTTTCAGTCTGCTCCTTTAATAACTGTTTGCAAATTGACGCTTACGCCCAACGAGAGAGCATCACTTTGCGTGACATGATGCATGTTCCCGCCACTCGGGTCTAAACGTCTTACTCACAATCGCTATAAATGTACCTGTTATTTAAGTAGAACTCTTATGGAACGTTCTTACTTCTCCACAGCATAATGGGTCCAAGCCGAACTCGCCCTCAAAACCTTTGGGCCCTCGGAGACCTTCTCCAAAGCTGGATCCATTGGAGAGAAGATAACGCCGTGAGCTCAGCCCAGTCTGAAACGGACAATGCCGTCATCTGGATGATTGGGTTCTAGCTATACATCATTGGTTATGCAATCGTGTAACCCTTGTTAATCTCATACAGCCAGTCGCTAGCGAGCAATCGGTGTCTGGGATAACAGAGGCGGGACTAATGTTACAGGACTTTGTTTATTAACCCAGCTTCGCGCCTGCGCTTGCCATGTCGTTCGTGCCCGTAAAGAAGCACAATCTGCGTCACAATTAGTTGAGACACTACTTCACGTTAGAATACATGCATTCAGGTTTGCATCTCTCCCGTCCCCCTCACTGTTGAGTAAAGCACTTTGTTTTGTCTAAACTTGCTCGTGTAAATACTGAAGTAGGGGGAGGAAATGTTTGCCAACGATTTTGACAACTGAGGAAGCTAGAAGGACTAAAATCATTTTGGTGTAAAACAACTCTTTCGTTTGCTTTCAGCGTATCATCGTATCAGCGTACATATCTGTCGTACTTAGGAATTTTATTTACAATTAAATTAAAACCAGTTGTGGTAATAAAGTTGTAAGTGCAATGCTGAATGGTCCAAGGGCGACAGCAGTCATTTTGAATTCTCCATCCTTTCAAATATCCTGGACTTAGAGTGATGTCTTTCCAGTAAATGAAAATTTCATTCAGCAACTGTCCGCCAATGTTTACTTGCCGAGATGGCAAAGATGGCGAGCTTAGTAACCAAGCTCTATAGCGAGGTGAATATAGCGTCCTATGATGAACTTTTCGACCAATCAGAATGTCCAATTCTTATATTCACCTCTGGAAATCATACTTATTACTAGTAACGGAGCGGATTTCAATTGAGTGCCGTAAAACCAAAACCCAACCAATTACTTACCAATTAGACCACTCAGCCAGTCTCAAAACCGTAGTAATATAAAACCAAATCCAAAACCAAAGTAATTGCCTGGTTGCTTTCGACACTCATGACCCTTGAAAACCGCTCTAGTAATTGGACCGAGTGAAGTACTATTGAGGGAACCAGTAATCGGGCGAGTCATTTCAAATCGGTCTCGCGCTGCGCGCTTCTCTGATTTTGACATTAATTACTCACCCGCCAGTACAACCTGAATTGTACTCCACTTGGTGCAATCACCTATTCCTATGTGTTTAAATTAATCTATATTTGTAGTCATTTTCTCTGTAAAAAAAAACAATTGCTAAGGCTATCAACGTTCTGAAAGAAAACATCTACCACTGTATACATTGTGGAAAACATTACAGAATTTCGACGGAGAGACTGGTTAGAATGTTGTAAAAGTATTTGATGTTTATTAAGAAATAGTAAGCGATGCCGAATACCATTTGAACTGGGCCTTGCTAGCTGTGGACAACTCTTTTCTTGATTGGCTACATTACCAAAACATCGAGCATAATCTACTATAACCTCCCAGGTGTAGCCGTATGATATCAACTGGCTAATTGCCCGACAGTGGGAAATTGTTGCAAAATTTCAACGATATCAATCCTTTGAAACTCCTTTTTTCGGAAATGTCTAGAGAATCCAGGGAAAAAGTTTACATTTGCAGGTTTTGCAGCTTACAAATTTTCCTGCCAAGTCTTAGCATGCCATAAAATTTGTTAGTGAACATGGCGATTTCTGTAGTATGCTTAGTTCCACTCTACCCCGGGGGGCTTAAGCTTGGGAAAAATTCGTCAACTTGAAAAGCAAACTGATTTTTGAAACCGAAGTTAGCATCAGATTTTCAGAGAAGTCCAGAATACTGTCGAGGTTTGAACACGACTTTTGACGGAAAATCTGTGTAAATTTTAGACTGCGAGGCATTGAAGTTATGGTAACTTTATGTTGAGAAGACTGGGCTTTTCCCTGGGTTTTTGACTATTCCCACGATTCACATCTCACAAAGGGCTAGTGCGAGCAGTTGATTCTTCTGGTTTTGCCACTGAACGGAGTTATTGTGTTGCTGCTATTTGGCTAGTGCTGCCTCATAAAACTGTTTTCTATCGATTCGAGGTAATTTAGTTTAAATTTTAAGCTTCCTTATAAGCTTTTTGTTGCTCTCAAATGCGGAGTGAGTTTATCGTGTTTATAGTCAAACCGTCGTGTGGTTTCGTTTGTTCGAGAAAGGGTTATACTGGCTCAAGAAACCTGTGTAGGCCAGTGTAGTGTAATGTTTCAGAGGGTAAATGCTATAATGTAGACAACAGAGCAGTTCATTATCAACCAAGTTTATAATTAAGTAGAATTCAATTTTATACCCCGATCCCAGAGGTTTCTAACATCTTCTTTCTTTGTCTGACGTGAAAAGGCTGTCGCGGTGGTGGAAGCAAGTGCGTTTTGAAGGCGCTTTTTCGCGCTCTTTGCTTCGTAACTCGTTTTCGCCTCTTCGCGGCACAAATCCGATGAATTAAGGAATCGAAATCAGAAGAGCTTTTGAACTAGGGTATCAAGTGAACAGCTCATTTCCGAGTTGCGTTTTGTCTCTGTGTCTAAACGAGTCTTCGTGCGAACCTATTCATATGAAAGTGTGCTCTCCTCCTCCCCCTCCCCCGCCCCCCTCTCTCATTTAAATGTTCAATTTCATGATTTGATCAAACTCATTTACATTCTCTATTTTCCAGTTGCCCATAATGCCATCTGTTTGCCCCCCAAATTTTGCATAAACTATTGTTGTGAAATGCCCTTAGGAATATGCAGACCTCCCAAGAGTATTTCACAACGATGGTTTATGCAAAATTTGGGGGGCAAACAGAGTGCATTATGGGCAATTGGAAAATAGAGAATATGACAGATTTTGCATGCTCGAGGACTTATTTTGAAACAGAGGCACAAGGTAACTCGGAAATATTTCCTATTGAAACAAACAGGCAAACAACAAACAGGCGTTTGGTTAGCTGAAGGCAGCGCCAAAACGGCGAGCGATAAAAAAATGTAGCAGAGGTGTTTCACATCACACCACTCCCATTTTTCCCACTCGTTTTTCGTGAACCCCCCCCCCTCCCCCACTACCCCAAGAAATCGAACGCCTAAAACAGGCTAAATTGACACCCAATACCGACAAATGGCAGTCAAATGTGAATGTTCTAACGTAACTGACTACAAAACGGTAGCTTGGGATCAGTCTCTCTTTGCCCTAAGATCCGCGAGGGAGAACTCCATCATCAGAGGCAGTTTTTAAGGCTAATCTTAAGACTTATCTTTTTAAGCGTACATTTGATTTGTAGTTTTTACTTTTTATTTGTAGCCTAATTGTATTATATAGCGTATTTAATTCTTAGGATTTTAACTTTTAGGATTTAGGATTTTCGGTTTTTAAAGAATTAGGATTTTAATTTTAAAGTATTGTAAAGCGCCATGGACAATTAGTGGAAAATGGCGCTATATAAATGTATATTTATTTTATTTTATTTTTTATATGTAGCGACCGTTTATCGAAACAACCTAATGTATAAACGACTTCAAGTCCGCATTTATACTGCGCTCTGAAATCTGATCTACTGAGGCCTCAGCCACACGTATTCTTTCTCCGTCCAGACGTATCCGATGGTACCCGGATTCACTCTAGAGAAACTAGGCCTACACATTGTGTCGCCATATTGCTTTATTGTTCGGTAAGAGACGGTACGCAATTTTGCTACGTCATCGGATTTGAAAATATCCGGATTCACCGTCGACACGTTATTGGATTCGTTGTAGATTTATTTTTTCCCACTCTGGAGAGCGGATTTAAAAATATCCGGATTCGCTGCCGAATTCGCCGGATGCGTGTGGACGGAAGCCGTATCCGGAAAGAAAAAGTTGCGGATTCAAAAATATCCGGGTGGACAAGGCCTGAAACTTTTGTTCGAAGGCAAGAGAAGACGAAGTGTTCCGGCGGAGAGTAATCCCACAATCCCTCTCAGGTTAGTTTCAGATATGGCATCCAGTTCTCACGTACATGTTAGCGTGATGGTAATGATCACTTTTTTTGGTCGGAAAATTCTCGACAATTTCTCAAGTAATGCGAAAGTTGCCCTAGTTGACGCCAGTTTCATGGTTAACACCCTAGTTAACAATTAGTGTGCAGTGGCTTGAAGTTGTCAACAAACTAAAATTTCAACATTTTTTCGTTTCTCCGAAGTTTTCAAGGAACTTATAGAAACGACCTCGTCAACCATCACCTCGGAATTCTCGAGCTCATATTGCTGTAGTGCACGAGAGCCTGCTCGCAGGCTGATAATGTAACGGCTGACAATGTGTGATGGGTTAGCCAGTATATTTGCAACATTTGCATTAGTATGCTGATCGGTCACAAGCTATCAAGGGCTCTTGACCAGCTAGTGCGGTGATCTTGAGCAGAGTATTTTTCCACACGCTTTATCGCTGAAACTCGCAGGCTATCCTTTTCTTTCATTCCTGACACAACTAACTCATTCTCTGACCGCAATATTCGTTTGAAAAAAGTATTTATTATAAAGTTGTTTTCCTTTATTACAGAGAGCCACTACAGGATTGTTACATTATGTATATAATGGATGTACGTCTGTTAGCCGCTGATTGAGGAGCCCGATTGCTCGGAACTTCTTCCTCGAAAGCAGAGAATCAGTGAAGTGAAAAGATGAAAGGGAGCGGCGTCACATCCGCGATCTTCCGCGTCACTACGATGGGCTACTGAACATGCAGTGGAGACAGATGTACATGAACATACAGAACTCACGAAGAAGCTGATCTTCGGCGAAGGAGGAGTCATCTGCTGAAAGGAAGCTCTGTAGTGCGCATAATGGCGTGCCAAGAAAGTACAGCAACTGACGAGCAGCAGAGAGATTCGAGGCGTATCGATGTTATGTTTCTCTGCGACGAGTGGAAGTCTTCCAAGGGTGGACTGTCCACTTTCAACAGAGAATTTGCTGTGAATTTGGCAAAAACAACAAGCGACAGCATCAAAGTTCACTGCTACGTCGCCCAAAGTGACGAACTGAGTAGAGCAGATGCCAGAGAGCATGGCGTGCATTTGATTACTGCTCGTAGTATTCCTGGATCGTCTGATCCATCAGATTGGCTGAAAATTCCACCGCCGGAGCTACCGAATCCTGACATTGTTGTGGGCCACGGAAGAAAGTTTGGTACCCCTGCCTATTTTATTGTCCAAACTACAAAGTGCAGGTGGGTGCATTTTGTCCATGTGTTTTGTGAAGATCTCGGAAAGTTCAAAACAACCCAGAGTGCTGCAGTGGATACAATCGAAGAGAATGAGAAGAAACATAAAAGTGAAATTGAGCTGTGCAAAGCAGCAGATATGGTTGTCGCAGTTGGATCACGGCTACAAAAGAAGTACAGCAGAAGTCTTCCAYATGTTAAGGTGGAGATCATCACTCCTGGGATTTTGCAAAAGTTTTCCAACGAYTCATCACTGCCGGTCAAAGATAGATCAGTGGTAAAGAATTTCAAGGTCTTTATGTTTGGTCGGGCAAGCTTTGAAGATCTCACACTCAAAGGTTATGACATTGTTGCAAATGCCATAGGATCCCTTGACAAGATGTTTGAGCTGACATTTGTTGGCTCATCTCCTAATGAACACAGAAAAATAGAACAATGGTTTCTTGACAACACAGACATAAGCCGCATCCAATTAACAATCCGTAGTTATTGCAATGATCAAGCTGAACTTAAGATGATGTTTCATGAGTCAGATATGATTGCTCTGCCTTCACGCACCAAAGGGTTTGGATTGGTTGCCCTGGAAGCTATTTCTGCTGGTATACCTGTTCTTGTTGCAAGTGAATCTGGAATAGCTGAAGCTTTACATGAAGTAGATGGAGGGCGATCTTTCATTGTTAAATCAGATGATCCTGAAGTGTGGGCACGAAGGATCCAACAGCTGTCCAGCCAAAGTCCAGAAGAGAGAGAAAACTGTGCCAAGCTGCTCAGACACAACTACAATAAAACTTACCCTTGGAGCAGTGAATGTGAGAGATTCAAAAGGATGATTCAAGATTTAGCCGAAAGCTCAAATGGTATGTTTATTAAGCCTCCTTCTTCCACTATTATCTTTTCTAGTTACCTACAATGTATCTGTGCGTGGCAATCAGAGTAGTGAAAACTGCTAAATTTGGCTTTCTTGAGGTCAGTTTCCTCATGACATTAATTTTGTTACATAATAGGTTCATAATGTAATTGTACTGTGCATGTGCTGAGTAGACAAAATGTAAACATAGTTTTGAGACTGAGAAAACAGAGTTGTGTTAGCTGTTACATATATGTACATGTAAGTCCCATTTAGTGTACATACTACACATGCGAGTGTGAAAAGTGTCCTGCAAATACAAATCACCAATCACTCACCCGTTTGGCAAGTGCGAGTTTCATTTTTGGGAAATTATTTAAGCTTAAAGATGATTTCCAGTCTGTACTGCGTTGTCTCAGCACCCCAATGTTCGGTGAATTTTTTTTTTTATATTATCAAATTTTAATAAGAATGATAAGACACAAGTTTTGGCAAAATTTTAGAAAAATCTGTTCATAGGGTTCAGAGCCACCTTAGAGTTTTGCAAATTTACGGTGGTTCTGAACCCTATGTACAGAATGTTTTTAAACTTTGCCAAAAGTTGCATCTTTTCATGCTAAAATTTGATAATATGAAAAACATTTCATCGTGCCGTTTTTGAATTATAAGCTCCTAAAGCTGTAATTAAGGGTGTTTTTAGCGGGTCATACTGTTGCTATGGTAACCTATTGTGAAACAATGTGTTCACTGATGATTGGGCAGTTTTTGGTACCTTGATTGTAGCATCAAATGATAAATAGTGGTTATAACGACCTGTCAAAATCTAAGTGCTGGAACTGTTTTGAGCCACCTTAACATGACTCCCTAATATAGTCAATAATAACTAGAAAAATGTTTAAATGTATATGTACTAAATGAAGAAATATTTTAAAATTGTTCCAATTCAACAGATTTGAAATTAAGGATTGATGTGGAAACAATGAAACCTGTTAAACACAACATGCAGGATAGAGCTCGTGTTTCAGCAGTAGAATCAGAAGGATCTCACATTGGTGGGTACCAGAAGGTATCTGTAGTACCTGTGTCATCGGAACCAGCCCAGTCTTCATGTACAGGTGCTGAAGCTCCCCAAGCACCCATGAGACCCATTCCTACAGAAGGAGAAGTCTTGCGTTTAATTGCTGCTAACTATCTGCAGGCTACACCACTAAGAGGTAAGCAGGACCAAGAAGACTTTTTGGCTTACATGAAAGAAATGCAGGTCATTATCAAAGGTGTTGGTGTAGGAAGTTTGCTGATAACAGTGAAGTGCAATTCACTCTTGATCCTGGAGAGTCTGTGGGAAGATTATTCGTCGGGTCATCTTAGTGAAGTGGTTCAAAGGTGTTTTGTTACAGAAGGGATCTTAACAGAATTGAGACTTGCAGAGTTGAAATTGAAAACAACAATCTCAGAAGAGGAGTATAAAGTGTGCAAAGAATATTTTGAGAAAGATTCAGCACAAGGTTAGTTAAAAAAATGTTTTCTTCATAAAATATTAATAATTATTATTAAATAAGTTTTGTTGGTTTACTAATAATGAAGTAAAGTTACTAAAAAAGCAGCTTTTTGTGATATTGCACTGGAGAGGTTGAATGAAAAATAGCCAGAATGATTTTAATCGAAACTGGGCAAGGAATATACGTAGAATGTCTAGGCTTTTGGTTGAATTTCAAAATATTTGTATAATTATGCGAGAGTTTAAATTATCTCCTTCTGTAATTTGAAAATCACTGAGTTACATGTTTGTATAGAGTTCAAATTCCAACAAATTGTATCATAAGCTTGCAAGAAAATTAATTTTATTCTTTCCCAGTACAACAAAGGTGTGCCTTTTTCAATTTACATACAGATGCAGAATCAGTATGGGAAACTAGGACAGGCAAATTGTGCGAGGTCTTGAAATCTTTTGATTTGGTCTCAAAATCATAGAATCTTTTGTAACGAGTCATTAAGTTTTGTGTTTTTCTTTCTGTCTCAGAGTCTATAATCGTTTAGTCTCAGTCTTGGATTTTCAAACAAGGATCTTGGTGTCTCAGTGTGTTTCAAATTTTAATGCATAATTACCCTGTGTCATCCCTAAGCTATAAGTTAGTGACTTTTCCTGCATGGCAACATGCCACTGTTTTTTATTTACATGCAAGAGAAGAGGTACAAAGTGATCAGTGATGAATGAGTAGAGGTGTAGGGCTCTACAAAAACTTCTAGAGCAATAGGAGGTTCATAAAATGGGCACCAGTTGCTCTTATGAATGCAAGTGCAATTGAAGATTTAAACTATAAATGATATTTGAAAGTTCTTTCAAAATTGCACCAGCTTTTTTGTGAGGGAAATATGAAAAAAGTTTGCAAATCAAGCTTTCATAGGATTACTCATTGTATGACTGAGAAAATAACGAACTCACACATATTAATTTGCATGGCACTACGAATGAAAAATTAATGATAATTGGACAACTTTAAGCCAATCACAGTGAAGCAAATTTTCTCGGTGTGTTAGTATAGGGGGAAAATTAAATTTTCAATTATTGTTATTATTACTAACTAGTTTTGTTGGCTCGTTTAGTACATGTAATTTAACAAATGTTGATGTTAGGTTTACAAGTGCACATTTATTACATCATGGCTAACTCATGAGACAAAGTTTTTCTTCATCTTCAAAGATGAATGTCCTGTACCTGTGGAAAAATCAACTCATTTTCTTGATGAGAAGATTTTAGCTGAAAGAGATGATGAAGATGATTCACTAAAAGAAACAGATGACAAAGATGATTCAGTATCAGATAATGAAGGTACAAACGTATGTAACTTATATACACTTAATGCATTATATGCAAACCATGGATCTGAAAAAATATTTTCTTCAAGGTCTAGAAATCAGCATCTCACAATAGTCCTTTTTGAGATTCCCTTTAAAAGCAGGCCATTTGGACACCACTTGTCTACCATCAAACAGTAGCTGGAACTCACAAGTTATTTTGGAGTAGACATGATCAATTTATTGTTCTATAGCTGGAATTTTTCTCCAACAGTGCCCGCTCTCATTGGCTTCTTCAAGGTCACATGACATCTACATGTACCTGTAAAATTGTTTTTCGTGGTAAGTCTCTGAGTGGGCAACATCATTGCAAAAATGTTTGATGTCAGAGAGTAACAGTGTACTGCTACCAGGAAATGCTGACTGTTGAATCTTTTCACATTGCATATTCTAGTGTCTTTGTTGGGCTATAATAACAAATCAGTTAATGGCTGGTCCCTCAGGAAAGCTGTTAATTGTACATTGTTTCCCTCAAAATTATCTCAATGTTTCCCTTGACTCTGCCTTGGGAAACTTTGAGATTTCTTGGGAAACAAAATTGACTGTTTCCCTCAGGACTTGTCGTCATATGTTAATTGTTACATTTTTGGTAACATCAGAACTTTCAGGAAGATGACTGAAATATATACATGTATGCTTGTGAACCCCAAAACTACATGTCAATGCTTAGTTGTCAAATACAGGCTGTTGGCTCCCATAAAGAACTTGCTGCTTCTTGCTGTTATAAAATAATTCTGAAAAGAAAAAAAAAGCTCTTTGTGAATTATTACTTAAAAATAAAACTTGAAAATCAAAACTGCAAATAATTAGATTAATTTGAACTTGGTTGTAAACAGGGAAGGATTGGATATCATAGCCCCTACATGTAGACAGATTTTCATGTCTATGCAAAGTCACTTTCAAATTAAGTGGAAATTGCAACTTAAGGGCCCATTAACTGATTTATGCGCGCATTCATGCGCGTTGCTAAGGAGGTGAAATTTCACTTCCAGTTACTTGCGTCAGCCTGAGCGCCGAAAATAAAAACAACTCAATAACTTGCAAATTTGCTACATTTTAGATGTTTTTCTTTGTGTTTCACAAAATGCAAATTAAAAAAAAGTACAAGCAGAGACAAAATAAGAAAAAGACAGAAACACAAGAGCAATAGAAAGAGAAAAACTAACTCCGTGTGGCTTTGTTTGATCTTACCGAAGTGCACTGGTAGTGTAAATTGCGCACGCGCTGATAGGGTA